TCTGCCAGTTCTGCAGACCTCATCTCCAGTCCTATTCCCTAAGTAATGGTCATCTCTTTTCTTCTACTTACTGTCTCATTGTGGCATGACACGTTGTGCTGATTTTCATATTCCAGGAATTTTGGCATAACAAAGCTTTGCAATTATTTTTCATCTTAAGTGAATACTTAATTCTCTCCCTGTTCATTTCTGTTTTAACTCAGAACTACTTTTATTTCCCTCTCAGCATTCTAACTGGTTGTAGAAGAATTATCTCAAATAGAGCAGGAAATAAAACAGCAAGTAGCACATTATGTTATTCTGGCTGCTCAATTTATGTGATGGCCTGGTTTTGATAATGAGAAAGAGAAGAGGGGAAGAAGGGTTTGGGTGAGTTGCCCATTCCAGCTCAGAAATGGCAGGGTCATCTGGTCTCTGAGAGTCAGAGAATACCTTAAGTGGCAAGCTGAGGCAATGCAACTCCAGAATGAAATCACAGAAAATGAAATTTATCACAGCCCTTACAGCCCCATTTCAGAGAACTGTATTAGCAAGACCTTGAGGCGCACAATAGAACAATCCAAATAATGGTGATTTCAGGATGCCAATGTAGGAAACAGAAATGCAACTTAGAAAAACATATGGGGAGGTGTGTTTGTTTGGGGTGGGAAGAGAGGGAGTTGGGGATTGTTTTGGTTTGGTTTTTAACCATTTTCCTACTGCTAATACACACTAAACTCCTTAGGATCTGTGAGCAGTTTGGCAAGTTACAAACTCTCATGAAGGCAGAAAAACTGGTTTTCATAACATTTTTAGCTAATAAGAATATGCTTCCTCCTCTAATAGACAACAGAAACTGCAATCTAAACCCAAGGTACGCTAAGTAATGAACAGAACAAACTCTTATACAAGTTATTCCTCACCCTAATATGGTCACATGTCTTTTTCTGACCCCAATGTCAGAATAATTTAGAAAGTTGTACAAAATGAAAAGGGAATTCCAAATCAGCATGTGGAACAGATATGAAAGAGGCTCACTTAAGTGACTAGTAAAGCTGCTTGCACCTAACAATCTTGTACATATAAGAAATCTCTCTTGTACATCTCATATCTTACCTTCAGATGTGCAAGAGAAAACTGGTTTCTTTTCACACTTTAAGTATTTTTAGTCTGCTTCCTAGATTGTTTTGAGTGATTCAATCCTTACTGACAAGTTTCACACAATTAAAAGGGCCTATTTCATTAAAAACAATTACAAGAACCTGAAACCACGTTGGCTCATTAAGAAAAATAAATTTTACAGGTTTCAACCTAGAGCCACTCTGGAAAAGTTATTAACTATTAGCATGTAGGTTAAAAATAGTGAAGTGGTGTGTGTCCAGTGTGTCTACGTGGCACTGTGATGCTGTTCTCAAACACCCAAAGCTCCACAACTGAAATCAGCAATAACAACTTCAGCAAGGTGAGTCCCATGAGAGTCACCCTGAACAGAGCAGTAAACAAACCTATCTCTGCCTTGAATTTCCTTGACACAGAAAAGCATTGTAGTTATGCAGGTATGCACAAAGCACCCTAACAGCAGCCTAGCAGCAACAGCACAGTGAGATTCTACTCTAAGATGACTTAGATCACTCCTTTGCTTAAATGGTTAAACAAAAGTCTTTTAGTCTAGTACCCCGTGCAAGACAGGTTTTCCATTTACAGCAGTGTTTCTGCACTCTTGTTCCATTTTGACTTACAGAAATGGCAAAATCATGATGGAACAAGCAGCACAAAGCAATCCAATCCATTCCTGACCTTCCTTTGTACAAGAAAACCACAGAAAATTATGTATACCTTGATAAGAGTTATTACCAAACAATCTCTTGGGCCTAGAAAGTAATGGCTGAAGAGTTTCACTCCACAAACACTCTCTTGAACACAATCCAAATGCTTATTACTCGTAATTCATCTCCTCCTCAGCAATTAAATGAAGTCATATTGACTTTATTCCATCCTAATTATTTTTATTTGACACCTTAACATCAAACCACTTTGCTTCTTAGTTTCCTGGAACATCAAGCCGTTACGGGGAGTTTAAAAAGGATGTAGTCTTCAAAGGAGTAGCCGCTTCACAGGTTAAAAGATTTTCATTTTATGTAGGAAACAGTATCGATGCTACCTTATTTCAGAACAAAAGAGCAGCACTCCTTCCCATTGTTGGGAAACGAGCACAAAATAAGGATGCTCACCTAGATCTGTGAGCAAAACAGGTTGGTAATGGGTGAAGTCTATCACAGAAAGGCTGGAACGCCGCTCGCTATTCATTCACATCGCCAAAGCGGACAGTGGAGGAAGGAGACGGCAGCTCAGCTCCCGCCGGCCGCTCGCGGAGACCGCACCTCTGGGCACCGGAGGGATGAGGGATGCTCCTGTGCCCTCCCAGCTCAGCGCCCACAACCCGCTCTGTCACGGTCCGGTGCTGCCCGCTCTCCAGCCAGGGCGGACACGGAGCCACTGCGAGCCCCCTCAGCCCGGCCCAGCCTGGGGCCGCTCGCCGCACTCCCCGGAAAGGACGGGCCGGGCGCAGCCACCCCGGCCCCGCCGAGCCCTCCCCATGCCGGGTCCCGGCCCACCAGCACACCAAGGGGAGAGAACCCTCAGGAAGCCTCCCCGCCCCGCCGCGCCGCTCCTCACCCAGATACTCGGGCCCGGGCAGCGAGAGCCGCTCGGGGCTCAGCATCCTCCTCCTGCCGCTCCTTCCCAGCTTCCGCCCGTTTCCAAGGCGCCCGACGCTCCCGGCGCTGCTCGGCCGCTCGCCCCGGCTGGGAACACGCCCCTCACCGCCACAGTTCCGCGCCCACAGCCGTCCGGCAGCCCCATCGCCCGTGCCCTCAGGGGCTGGGGCAAGGCTGGGACAGAGCCCGGGAGAAGGGACAGTGCCTGGAGCCTGCTGACAGCGCCCGGAGCGGGGGCTGCGCGGGGGCCGCGCTGGGCGATGCCCCAGGCGGCTGCTCCCGGGCGGAGGGACGCCTCAGAGACGGGAGAGCCAGTGAGCAGGATGTCCCGAAGAGCTGAAATAGCGAGAGGAGAGGCACGTGTAAAGTCATCCTGATTAGATTCAAGTTGTCTAACTTAAGGTATATTCTACTGCTAGGGGTTATTTAGGACTACAGCTGTGAGGGAAAGATCTTGATTTGAAGGTGAATTGTAATAAGTTAAAATCATACAATATGCTGAGTTGGAAGGGACTCATCAGAATCATCGAGTCCAGCTCCTGGCCCTGTGCAGGACACCCCAAAAACCACACCGTGAGCCTGAGAGCATTGTTCAGATTCTTCTTGAGCTCTTCCAGCCTTGCTGCTCTGACCACTTCCCTGGGTTAATGAAGTCAATGTGTAGCAGCTTTGTTCCAGAGAGCAACGACTGAAAGTGTGACTAAGGAGATCCTTCAGAGTTGTGTCCTACTGTCCATACTATCCCAGAGCTGGAATTTCTGCATCCTTTGTGCTCAGGAGAAGTAGGTATAGGGAGCCTCAGGAATTGTCCCTTCTGTAGATTCAAGTAGAAATGAGCAGAAAAGTCCTGAGTCGCAGGGCTCTTTCTGTTCTTGGCTGGGAGCTTGTATGGGAATGGCCATTGTACTGGGGATGTACAAGTGGCAGAGCTCTTCATGTGGATAGAAGCAAACCTGCTGGACTCCTCTTTCCCAGAAGCTGATGTGGCTAAAATTCCCAAATTACTTTGCCATTTCTTTCATCACCATTAGAAAAAATACCAGCCCAGGATGTAATCCTGAAAGTATTACAAAAAAACCCAACCAACCAACCAACCAACCAACCAACAAAATAAACAAAAGGACTGCAGGCGTTTCTGTGTTTTAATTGACAAATGCAAAAGAACAGAAATTAAATTAACCATTTGTACCTGCATATGATCCTCCTTTATTCCACTAGAGAAAAATACTTAGGCACTGGCAACTCAACTTTAATCTATATTTAAAGGACAGCTACATTTAAAAAGGGCAAACAAGATGTTATAACTTAACTGTTAATATCCCACATAAGATTGCCTGGACCTCTCCTTTGTTTTTTGTTCTGTCTTTAAAAGCATATGGCTTAGATATAAATATTTCAAAGATGAGCACAGAGAATAGTTTAGGGAGCAAACAATGAGACACTCCAGCACAAAGAATGATTGAAAAAATGTAAGATTGCCTTAAAGAGGAAAAATGTAACATATGAAATTATGTTACCTAAAATTATTTGTACTACAATGAAACTCACTCAAAACTACAGGTTGTTCAGTTTGGCACTTTGTGCATTCTGATATAGGCTATAAATTTAAATATGGGAGTTTTTCAGTAATAGATACAATGAGATCACAGAATGCATTGATACAAGATATTTTGGAGCCCAGAAATTCAGTAGAATTTAGAAAGGAAGTGGATTCAAGCAGAATGAGAAAACGCATGATTATGTTGTTACACACATAAGCAGTGTTGCTGGTGTTTAAAAACCTCTTCTATAATGCAGGTCAGCTGAGCTGGTAAGAGCCTTCCACAGGTTTCCTTTTGTTGTTTAAACCATTTCTGTAAACCAGAGTTTAGCCTTGATCAGTATCTAGAGTACTGATTTACAAGAGGCCTTTAAAGCCCAGTTTTGAATATTACATGTTCTGACATCTCTCTGTTTTTTCCTTTAGGGTGGTTTTTCTTTTCTTTTCTTTTCTTTTCTTTTCTTTTCTTTTCTTTTCTTTTCTTTTCTTTTCTTTTCTTCCCTTCCCTTCCCTTCCCTTCCCTTCCCTTCCCTTCCCTTCCCTTCCCTTCCCTTCCCTTCCCTTCCCTTCCCTTCCCTTCCCTTCCCTTCCCTTCCCTTCCCTTCCCTTCCCTTCCCTTCCCTTCCCTTCCCTTCCCTTCCCCTTCCCTTCCCTTCCCTTCCCTTCTCTTCTCTTCTCTTCTCTTCTCTTCTCTTCTCTTCTCTTCTCTTCTCTTCTCTTCTCTTCTCTTCTCTTCTCTTCTCTTCTCTTCTCTTCTCTTCTCTTCTTCTCTTTCTTTTCCTCTTAGTCTCTATGGGTTAGACTTTGTTATTTCCTTCAGACCAGCTAAAGGAAACCTTTTGGTCACTGGTCCCATTTGCAGTTCTAATAACAGTAAGTTTCAGTAGTAATGGTGCCTGACTGTTAACCTAAAGAAAACTATATAAAAACAAGATGTCATTTCTGAGACCATTTATAGACTTTCCTGTTTACTATTATTTCTCCTTTGGCTTGCCAGAGCTCGGATTAGGTGATATAACAGGTCAGCAGCACTTATGTGTTCCCTCGCACTCATGACCTGAAAAGGGAGAAATGCTGCCAGCCTGGCCATAGGTGTTAAGTTTGTTTTACCAACTTCATTTTTAGAACCCTATACTAATGCATTTTAATAAATTCAGAAGGTTTTTCTGGGGCCATCTGGAGGTTTAATAGCTGCCCCCAGAGGGGGCACATCTAACAAGGGCTTAATGTTCTTTTGGACCCAGCTGGAAGAATGATTGTGAAGAAAATTATTTTTCCTTGTCACAGCCTCTTGGTAGATTATCAGATCTCACTTCAGGGCAGCCTATGGAGTACACTTTTACCATCTACCCTGGGAATCATGGTGGTGCTTACATCTAGTAACTAAAATTGCTGCATTTTGTTTACCAGGGACATTTGGGCATCCAAATCAGTCTTTCAGTCTTTGTGCACACTCTCTTTCAGAGTTAATGTGATCTTGATCTGATTTAGCTTAATTCACTTTGAAATGTGGTTTAAGCAGAATTTCAGAAATCATATGTTTCATAAACTGGGCTAACTTAGTTATATGAGAGTCCATGTGACCACAAGTTTGAAAATAGTGGTATAATTTAAATTACGTCATGAAATAAAATGTCTTTATTATGTTAAGATGCATGGACTGAAAATCTTTCCTGTGTAAGTTTTGTAAGTGTTTCTCAGCAACTTAGCTAAAATCAGATTTCTGTTTTTCTCCAGAAACACATACTTTGCCCCCACTATATTAATTGCTTAGCTTACTCTCTGCTGATTTTATGTTCATCTTCCTGAATTATACCATCAATGTGAAACTGAAATATTTTCCTTTTATTAGACAAAATTCTCCTGAGAAAGCTCCTCTTTCAGAGAGAGTATTATATAGAATAATAAACAGGACTAGATAGCAAGAACAAAATTCCAGAGGAAATGCCTTGTTTTAAAAAGATTGAATCACTTTGCCTGGCTTCTTTAACTTTTCTTGGAATTAAATGTTTCATTTGCTTAGAATTTTAACAATTATTACTATGGTAGTTACAATGCAGCCTACTAGGTGCATTAGAGGAAACAAACTTTTTTTTTCTTCAAGTGACTGATGGAAATGCTGTTGCTACAATGTACAAAGAACTAAGCTGTGGGCAGTCTTCAGTATTATTCCATCTGACTGTGAAATCAATGTAAGACAGTTTCACAGAAACACTAAGAAAATGTCTCTAGCCTTTCTTGTGTATCCTTTGAGCATCCAAAGCTTTATCATGTTTGAAGACATAGTTAGCTAAGAGCCTGTTTCGTGCAGAACTCAGCTTTTTTGACTTTGATAGTGCTTTGTGTTCATCGAGGCTTCCCACGTATTTTCCAGATGAGCTTTTCCTTGTACATAATAATTAATAAAATTGCAGGTGCAATAACAAAAGGACACATGAAAACCAAATTATACTGTGAGGAGAAAAACATTGACTTAAATAACTGTCAATCTTTATTGATAATCTATTATTTTGGGCACAGTAGCAGAGATAAGTTTTGAGGAGACATCTGAAGAAATGGAGAATAAGGAGTTCACATGCTATTATTTATGTAAATTACTGGAAATCTTGTCAGTGAAATTAGAATTCTATTTTGTAAGTAATTTTAAAAATCAATGGTACTGAAGCTGGATGATTCATTCATGAGTCAGTTGCAAATCCATAAAAACCTCTCATTAAATTTTTAATTTAATAATTATTTATATGGATAATGACCAAACTCTCTAAACACATACACTAGAAATAAAATTGTCTTAAATAAAACGGTCAGACAAATCCACAATGAAATTATGTGATGAACTCCATGTTTTTATGGTTTTGGTTCTTCAGGAGTCATTTACAGAAAAAGATCCAGTACTTCTAGTGCTTCTCCTAATCTGAGCTTTCTCACACTGTATGAACTCTTTGTCTGGTTTACCTATAGCACAGTGGTTTTGCACAAGTAAATTAATTTTTTTTTTCCCAAATAATGCAGTATTAATACTACCTCTTCAGGTAAAATCTAGACAAACAGATTAGACTTACCCTCTTCTTTAAGATCTTCAGAGAAATAAGATTCACCAAATTTCTCTCTCCTAGCATCTGCCAAGATGAATTCTGGAAACAACTGTGTTTCTCAGCTAGTGATAGATAACATGATAACAGCAGCAGCTCTCTTAAGTAGCCAGCATTTGTACCATTACAGAGCTTAACTGTGACACCAGTAATTGTACCAGCAAGTCTTAAGTCAGGAATATACTTAACTAGTAAGATGTCATAAGCGTACAGGAAACTGTCCTGTGAACATGATGCCATCATAATTTTTATTTTATTTACTAGTTTAACTGCATTTTAATCTGGATTGCTAAGATTTTATTTTCCCTCTTGAGCTGGTGGACAGAAAAAAGTAAAGAGAGATCTGATCTGATTTTGAGATCTGTCTGTGTTGTTGATGATTCAGGTCTAAACAAGCTCCATGATCCTTGTATTTTAAATACAAGTTGGTGAGGAGAAACAAACCCTTGAAATATTCTTCTTTCCTCAGCCATAGGAGTACTTTTGAATTCTGCATGATGTGCTTATGAGAAAAGGGAATAGTAGTAGGACAGATTCTGTGGCTCAGGGAGGCCACATGTTCGTTTTCAAATCAATGGTAGCTGTAAGTTGTATAATAGATTCCTGGCATGTATTAAATGCAATGTCCAAATTCTGATTTTGAGTTTAGTGTTTAGTAAGCAAAGTTGGCTTTTTTGTAAGAACAAACTGTTGAAAGACTCTCCTCCAGTTTTTGTTCCCATTATCTCATCAGGAAGGAAAGGACATCTTTAAAAGTACTTAAGTACCAAGTGAGTGACCCTTCTCTGTTGGAATGCCGCCTCACTAATGATGCAGAGAAGAAAAACAGCCATTTCTGGCAGAGTTTGCAGGATCTCTCATGCCAAACAAAAAAAAAGTTTAAAATGCCTGGTAAAAATAAATATCACTATGAAATTCTGGCATGGGAAGCATTTCTGACAGCCAAGGCTTAGCTCATCCTGGGGGGTAACCCAAAAAGGCCAGCGATTTTTATTCTTTGTTTCTACTTATCGAATGTTCCTTGCAAACATAAGCTGCCAGACTCTGTTATCCATTAGACAAGGTGTCTGTGTGAGAAAATTATAATAAGTAAATGGCTCTATGTATGTGCAAGAGAGCAGTGGGAGTGAGCTGTTGTGTCTGGGGATGAAGTGAAGCTGTAACTGTGATGGCTGCAGTGGCCAGCTCTTATGGGAAAGGTGCGTAACCTTCTTTGTGCAGAACAGACATTATTCACATGCTAGGTACCCTGAAAATATTTTGCCTTATAACATCTGCATGGATAAGCAAATGATGGAATCAAGGGAAAAAAACAATAAAATGGAAGAAAGTGGAGATCACAGATTCATTAAAATAGTGGAATTCTAGCTAAATTCTAAGTCTGTTAGCTACACAAAAGGGTACTTGGAAGACAGCACTGCAGAACCCTGCCACTGTACAGGAGTTGCAGTCAAAATATTTTTCCAGCAAAAACACACATCCCTAGCCTGGTGATTCACTCCATAATATAAGAGGACATAGTGGTGAATGGTTTTTTTCTTTTTGCTACATAATGCATAAGGTGGTTTCAAGAGTAACACCTTTATGGAGTCACTAGAGGAGAAGATAGAGATCAGATGATGATATAATGGTTGGAGGACTTAGGAAGAGAAGCAAATCACTTAGTGAGAGAGAATATAAACCAGTTGAGACTGAAACAGTAAATGAAGATTATGGCAATTAATTCTAAACAGAACAGAGGAAGCATTGAACATTTTTCAGAATATAGTAGAGAATTAAGACCTAATTAAGTTTTATCTCAGGAACGTTTTAAAATTTTTCTTTTGCTTTGTTAACTTTATCATTCTAGTTTCTATACCACAACAAAATAGATTGATCATTCTGCATTTGAATCTGATAATATAGTTAGATATTAAGAAAATATCTTTAAGATTCTAACTTTAAGTGTTAAATTTTACACTGTGTTAGTGAAGGAAGAGGTGCTTCCTGAATATGTAAAGTTTAGATGTGGATCCCAGTTTCAAATTCTGTGGCTAGAGTCCATTTCTAATTATTACTAAACATACTCAGTGTGCTCTAAGTTATGTGAAACAGAAACAAGAGAAACCTATAGTCCCTATGACATGGTCTTCCCCTGTGCATTAAAAATGTTGGGTTTTGCTCACTCAGATCTCTGATAGAGTTTCTGCTGACATGGAATGAAGAACAAATGAAAATGCAATACACAGATTCAGATTACCTTAAACTCTTAGAATGCTGATATCATGTTAAATAGTCAAGTTTCTAAAATCCTAAACTTGCAATGAAATGGACATAAGTATATGTGACTGTGAGGGAGGTTGGATGTGTGTGCATACATGTGGGTGACTCATGTGAAGGGAGTGTGCAAGTCTGGATCTTGCTCCTACCTGTGCCTTTATTCAGGTCTCACCCAGTGCTCATAGGGAGCAATTAATTTGTTCCCTCACTCCCATTTTTCAAGAGCTAGTATGACAGAGGGAGAGGTGTTAAGAAGTATCTCTGATTCAGCCACCTGATAGGAAAGCAGATGGTGGCATCTTATCAGAAACACACAAGGGTTATGTCTTGTTTGTGTTGGCAGTGCTTGCTAGACCTATCATGCCAATAAAATATTAGAAGTGAATCATCTTCAAAAAAGAAAACTCTTTATCATTCTGTCTACATTTTTACATCTGCATAGTGGCTTCTGCAAACAAGAAAGGTGTGAGAGCTGAGAGAAAGATGTTTGTCTTTCACATCTATTCCCATGACTACTTGTTTCTTTACAGGCCCAATTTATGAATTCTAGATTTTATAAGAAAGGAAAATTTAGCCCGTCTAAGCTGTTCCACATACTGAGATATAAGGTCACCTTTCTTTCTGATTGTGTGATTGATTTTTACCACAAACTTCTTATCTGAGTACAGCAACTATTGATGGCAAACTACATTAATAGCTGGAAGTCAAAGAAAGACACAAGTCTTCAGTTCTTTAGAAAATGCTTCTCTATGGACTCAAAAATTAATTTAGGAGATACAGCTTGCTACTTATCCATTTGAATGTGTTTGGGGAATAAAGGTGGCTAGGCTTCTGTCTTCAAATTGAATTCTTCTTTTGCTGGCTTTTGAGAGAGCATTTCCCTTTTAAGCTCTTCCTCTTCTCCTTTTTTTCTGTGCCAGAGTCAAGGTATTAAGCTGTGCAGTTCCTAAGGGTAGGCCATAGGCTACCTTTGCAATGCAGACATTGTGCAAGGCCTGGATAATTGCCATTTCACTGCAGGGAGGAGTCTCATCAGGGATAGAAGAGGGTGTTTATTTGCATTATTTTTACATAGAGGATGTTAGGGAACCAGCAAAAGAAGGAGCAGAACCAGCTTTCAAAAACACAGAAGGAGCTACCATCTCAAAGAAAATGTGAAGAAAGATTTGGTTTGGTCTGTTGTTTGGTTTTGGGGTTTTTTCCCTATTTTGAGAGTAAATTTACTTATGGTTTTGTTTCCTTTTCTTCTTCTTCTTTTTTTTTTTTTCCTAGAGTGAAGAATTAAAGGGCCTTAGAAGTTGGTTTCTGTCCCACCTTCTAGACACACACACAAAAAGGGGTGGGGTTAGATGAATCTGTACTTTGGACATTACATTACAAAGGACCTTTTGCAAGATTCTTTATATCTCAGCTTTTGAATGTAGCCATTTAATGTAATCTTTAGTTTTGCTGGTCTGCACTGCAAAGTAGAATGAATAGTGGTCCATGAGATGATCATAAAGTTTCCCAAAACAAATGTGCAATTGGAATGCTTAGAAAGCGGCAGTTAAATGAAAGGTCAAGAAAATTAAGTAACACCTAAACTCTCGTCTGCTAATCTGAATTTTATATTTTTGTGAATGAAAGCAGTTGTGGTAACACTGCAGAAGATGGCATCTAGTTTTATTAAGAATAAGTGAGCAGTAACTGGAGAAACACTGTAGGGGACAATGGTGACAGTATTTGAATGTTTATGACTCCTACAAGCATCTCTGGGTACACAGTAGTAGTGGCAGTATTAGAAAGGGAAGGCAGCAAAGGAAAAGGTGATAACATGAAATATAAGTGAATTTAAAAATTTCATTTAATGTATTTAACATAGAGACCATAATTTACAAACTAGGTAACCAGATGCAAAAGCTGTCAATCCCTCAGCTCTTTAGAAAATTAAACTATTTCTTTACATCAGTGAAGTTGGACACCCCACTGTCCTATGTATGGGTAAAACCTGACTTTTAACTTAGCTGGTAATTCAAGCTACCACCTCTTTAGTTCACTGGTGGTATGGAAGAGGGAACTGATGTGGATAATGTGCAAGTGAAATAACTAAAGAAATTTAAAAGGCCACTGGAAAATCTCACGGTCTAATACCTATGGTTTTTTCTTGAACTTAGAGCCCTCTTAGGAGCATTTTGGTGTTTTCCTGTCTTTTCTGTTTATTTAGTGGAGGTCACTAGTAAAAAAGAATTTGGTCAGAGTGCAGAGTTTGTAATTATCTTTACAGTTAGAATTTCCTGAACTATTGTTGAACCAAAGTATAGTAGGGGTTCCAAAAGATCGCCTCGTCCAGTCTGTACTGCATCAAGACTAAACATATCAAGGCTAGTACCAGCATGCTTATCAAATTGTGTTCTTATGAAAATCCAGTGGAAGAGATTCCCCAGTCCCCCTAGCCAGTCTGCTCCATTATTGAAAAATCCTCAGTTGGAATGCTGATCAGAAAAATCTTTTAAGTATTTCTTGTTGCAAATGAAGTTGACTCTTTTATGTCTTTCTACTGGAGCCATAGAGGATGGCTGATCAACATCTCTGTAATTAGCTCTTATAAATATCAGAAAGCTGCATCTGGCTTGAAGCATTTATATCTTGACTAGGCATACCTAATTCTTTCAGCTTTTTCTCAAAGAGTTTGATTTATACATTTCTTGTTCATATTATTTTCTGATTTCTCTTCAGTTGTTTTTATATTTCTATGGTGTTCAGGCGAGACCAGACACAGTATCCAACCGGGTCTTCTGTATTGTGTGAATTTAAGAAATCAAATTATCTCCTATATGACACACCTGTTAAGGTGTTCCAGAATTCAACACATTCCTGGCAGTGCTGCTGCACTGTTGGTTTCTATTGTTTGTTATCCTAATACGCTGTATCCGTCTATTCCAAAATTCTGTGCAGTTTATTCATTTTTCATTCTGTTTCCTAAGAATAATATGTTTCTAACTACTGTATTTTTCCTTGTTGTTTTTTGGACAATCTGACCAATTTGTCAATAGGATTTGGGGTGTCTGATCTCATCCTTCCTAGTGTTTCCAGCCCTTTGCCTTTGTTTTGAGGTTATCAGTTGTTGTAGCACAGATTTTACAAGCATATCATTTAAGTTGTCAGTGAACATAGCAGACAAAACAGAACTCAAGACACATCTTGAAACAGACCTGAAGTGCCTTTGCCTTTTGATGAATAATGACTAATGACCACTGTGGTTTCCTTCTATTGGATGCTTGCACATCTTCCCATATCTGTATTTAAAATGTTGTTCCATGAACGTGTCTTGTGAGATGATGCCAAAAGCCATATAAGGTGTATCATATCTGTTGCCTTCTGTTCACACAGCGAGCTTTACATTACTTGAAAAAGGCAACTTGGTTTAGCATAAATGCATTTTGCCCATTTTTCATGTGTTTTTCATTCCAGGAAATTAATTCACTTTATCTCAAGTATTTAAAACACGATTGCTCCAAACTGTTCTGAACACAACAATTAAGCTACCCAATGTGTCATTCTCTTCTACGAAACTTGGGGTGTGGAAAATCATCTTCACAAGGAAAAGCTCATTGGAATCCTTTAAAAATACTTTGATTGGTAAGACTTAGACTTTTTTTTCTTTCTTTCCCCCTTTCTTTCTTTAAACCTATTATTAAGATCTTTGAAGTTTCAAAATAGATAAAGTGTCTTTTCCCTAATAATCTTACCTTGTTCTGGTCCCTTTCTTCTTTTTCCAATGACACCATGTTCTTGGTTTTCTTTTTCCTGACACAGGTTTGTTATTTAAAATCACCCTGAAAATGATGCAAACTATTAGTGTTATTTCGTAGCACTTATTTTCTGTCATCGGATTGGTTTATTTCTCAAATGTTTCTTTTGGAGGGGATGTATCTGAATTATGTCCCAAAATGGTTAATAGGATAATAATCTTCTTCCTGTTCCATTTATAATGACTGGTTGAGTTTTTTTTGCTTGGGCATGTTGTCATATAAATTAATTGTTAATTATATTTTAAGTACTTCTTTCTCATCTGTCTCACAACACTTGTGTTATATATCACTTATCAGTGGTCTATAAAGTATTGCAGGTTACTTCATGATGCTCCTCCCTCATAGGTGTGGGTAGAGGCAAGTACCTATGTTGTGCATGGGTTGAAATGTATTCTGATATTTCCATAATCTTAAAGTTATTTGCTCTGAAAGAGGCAAGACCAAAGCCATATGGTTTAATTCTACCAGCATTATTTAGCAACTAGTCTGCTTTTACCATAAATGTCCATTTTCACTGCATAAATCTACTTTACAATTATTCCTCAAAGATCCCACATGTAATCAGGGCTATATTCAATCAAAGTATCTATCAACAGGTAGGTAATTGAGACGTTTACAATATACATTTTCATCTGTTCAACTGCAACCTATTTAGGAGATTTTTGGGAAAGATAATACTATGTGCTTCTCTAACATTTCACCAGGGGATTCCAAAATTACTAATAAGACAGAGATATAGCTTAAGGAAGAGAGGAAAGTGATTTACCAGAATACAGTGCAAGATCTAGAGGACTGGTAAACACACTTTAACAGAGTGGGTAAAAACATTTGTTCTCTGGGGAGAGAAGAACTGAAGAGCTAACAAGTGAATTTATTTGTATGTAGGACAAGAGGCTTTTGTTTCAAACACAGGGAAACACTCATCTTAACAGCTGACTGTTCCATGACCTAAGTATATAATCATCAAGAAGCTCTGGGCCCTGTATCTGTGCTTTATCCTACTCAGTACTTCAGCACCTAAACTTCTAAAAGCTTCTGTGAACCTGAAGTCAGAAGGACTCCTCTGAGTTATACTACCTGATGATCTAGCCTAAGTAGAGAATATAAACTTAAATGAATTTTGGTTATGTTGCTCTGTATTTTAGGGAGATACAGTGAGGGTTTTGCATTCTAGTCAATCAGCCAGTCAGTGTGAGGTTACTGTTTTCTCTCTCTAAACTTTAACCCACTATTCAGAATTCTTCCCCTTCAGCCATCTTAAACTATGGTATCTTTAAGTTTATTACTTTACAATAATTGTGTATACTTTCTGTTTCTCAGTCTGTCACTGACTCCAACTCAACATTAGAATAGAGGTTTTTAATCTCTTCACCTCAACCAGTCCCTCTTGACTACCTGTATTTGTTGTTACTCTTCTGCAACTTTGCACACTTTGCCCATCTTGCACTAATGTGGATCTATTCCTATCTTGAGGCAGTGGATTTGCATATAAAGAAAAAGTCTGCTTTTTAAAAATTTTGGTAGCCATGTACAGAAGAATTTAAACATGGTTTGCTGCTTACTGTTTCTTGTGGTGTTACTGCTCTTGGGAGTTCTCCTCAGTGAAGCTGTGTTGGATTATTTTCTCTTTTCACTGAGCACAATTTGTCAAGACTCAGTCCCTGTTTTAATTTTACGTTGACATTTTTAATAATACCCCTTGTCTTCACCATTTTACACTTAATTAGTAGGAGTGGCATAATTCAATCACATGCTGTGCCATTTTCTTACTCTTGTGATTGTTTAAAGGATGGGATCAATTGCAGCTTCCTCTGGATTCATCTGTGGGAAGGCTTTAAATAAGACCATTTCTATTACTGTCCCTTTGGTGTCAATTTGACAAAATTCTCATCTTCCCCTGTGGTCCAGGGTTTGGACCATCTGAGTCAGCCTTCTGTTCAAGTCAATACTTTGAAATCAACTGAGATTAATTATTTAACAACAGTTCCTTGCATTGTCAACCCTATGCATTAAAATGTCAAATTATGCCAAAAGGACCATAAAACTGGCTCTAAGGGTGATCTCCAGAGAAAGCCTGTCTGCTTTTTAGTGCAGCACAGAATATAAGCCAGTTGTCCAAGAGTTAATTTCTACTCCTGCAGGAAACGACCCTACATCTTTTTTTAGGGTACCTGAGATTCATAGGTAGTCAGCTGTCTTCGGACACCGCGGCTATAAGGAAAACACCAAATAGCAGAATATTGTCACGAACGGAGGGGAAAATCAGACGTTTCTCATAGGTAGCAACATGCATGCTGGGCAAAGGGCTCGTGAACGTTTTCCTTTCGAAGGGAGTTTGGCAAACGGGGACAGGACGGGGAGAAGGGCTCTGCGATTTGTCTTGGGTACATCAAGCTCGCACAAGTTGGGAAGCGGTGGCAGCGCGCTGGGACCGGAGGATACCGGGCAGCCCTGCTGCGGGCAGCCAAGACCCCGGAGCAATGTTCCTTGGCGATGCTGCGGGAGTTGGGACAGGGAGAGCCGACACCGACGGCCCCGAGCACCGGAGCCGCTTTAGGAAAGGCTTCCCCGCCCGCGGCGAGGGAGCTGTACCGGGAGCAAGAGCTGAGGGGGTCTGGGGTGCTCTGGGCGAGCCCAAGGGTCTCGCCGAGGTGACGGGCGACGGGCCCTCGGGGTGGGGAAGGGAGGTGCGTGTTTCGCCGCGGAGCCTCCGCCACGGGACCGCCTCTACCTCGCCGAAAGTTTGCGAAGTGCCTCGGCGCTGGGGGGAGCGGGGCGGGGGCTGCCCCGCTGGAGCTCCTCCTTCGGGGCCGGGCCTGGGCAGGCGGAGCGGGGAGGGAGCCCCCGGCCCCGGAGTGCCGCGGCTGCGGACGGAACGAGCGGCGGCCGTGTCGGGGTGCTCCGCGCAGGAGGAGCCCGCGACGTCGCTGCGGGCGGCCCGGGCACGGGGCCGGGGCGCTGCCACCATGAGGCGGCGCGGCGGGGGTTGTCTCCTGCCCGCGCCTCCGCAGCTCCTGCTGGTGCTGCTGGGAGCGCTGCTCCGCTCCAGAGGTAAGCGGCTGCCGCGGCACGCTCTGCCCCGCGGCAGCGCGGGGGGCCCGGCTGCCGTCCCGGGCTCGGCGGCGGCGATCCGTGCCCGGGCGGAGAGCCCTGCCCGGCCGCGCCGCTCACCTGCCCGCGCCCGCCGGGCGGGGAGCCCTGCCCTGCGCCGCGCCGCCCCGCCGCGCTTTGTCCGCGCCCCGTCCCGCGCCCCGACGCGGGGCTCTCGCCTTCGCCGTGTCGCGGCGGGCTGGAGCCGGCGGAGTGCCCCGGCAGGCCGGAGCGCGGGGCGCGGAGAGGCGCTGACCCGGGAGCCCACGCGGCCGCTGCCCCCCGCGGAAGTTTGGCGGCGGCGGGCGCGGGCTTTGTTCCCGCGGTGCGAGCGGCGGGCCGGGCCGGGGCGGGCGCGCAGGTTGCCTCGCAGGCTGCCGTGCCCGGCGTGTCGGGACAGCCGCCGCTCCGGAGCAGGAATGCAGCCGCGCACCCGCCGCGACGGGCCCCTTAAAGGTACAGCCCGGCTCCGCGGCGGCGCCCCGGGCTACCTGCCTCGCCGGGGAGTGGGAGTCCTCCCGCAGCGCCCTGGCACAGCGGGGCCAGAGCAGGAGTACCAAAAATAGTGATGAGGGGAGGCTTTCGCTGCGCTCCTAGCGAGCCAGGAGGTAGTCTCATCAAGTCTCGCCATAAAAACTTTAGCTTTGTGGTTGCTCTATCAACTGACATCTGCTGTTTCTTCGTCTTGTGCTGTGGTTCTTGATTTTACAAATGCGCCCGGTGGAGAAGAAAACATCTAAACGGTTCGCAAAATTGTTTATAAAGAGTTAGAAGGCTTTTGGGGGAGGGGTGTGGAGAGGAGATACGTACCTCATTTCTTTCCCTTCACTGCTTTGGCAGCTGCTGTATAATTTCACCCATCCGTTTTCTCCTGTGCTACTCTGAAATTACAGGAAGCATTTGCAGTAGTGCTGCTGACCTCCATCATTCTACAAGTATTGCCCCTGGGGCACAATCATAGGAAGTTTGGGTTTCAAGTAATATTATTTCTCTTCTAACAAAAAAAAACTAATTGCAGGCAGCTTTGAAGAATGTGCTAAGCTAGGTAGGATAGACTGACTAGAGAGGGCTGTAGTTCTGTGTATCAGAAAGCCTGCTTTTTAGGAGCCACAAGGCCTCTTGAGTTCCCCAATGCCACACAGATACTTAGCTGTCCTCTAGTAGTGAGAAGGATCTAAAAGATAGATCTTAGTGTAGGTACAGATCTGGATGTGTTTTATTTTGGCTGTTACCCAGGTGCTCCTAGTTAATGTGTCTGGGCTGTTAACAGCCATGTGGGGGATGTCTGATTGTAAAATGCAAGTTTGCTAGTAGGTGGTTGTTCCTTGATGTCTCTAGGATGTTTTTTTATGGCAGTTTGTTTCTCTTTCAAGTAGTTTTCCCATCAGTGCACTTTTGTGCACTTTTGTATCCTCTTGTCAGATGACTGTAAGTTTATGTTTGGATGTGCCAGCTGCTTCCAGAAGTGAATATCCTCTTTCCTTCATCAAAATATGAGGAAATAAGGACACAATTTTGCAATAAGGACACAATTCCTGAACAATCTTTTTCCTATTTGAAGTAGGGAAAAACATGAGGAGATACCAGAATTGAGGTGGCAGAGAAAATGCCAAAATTTTTGATGAGTCAGTGTTCTTTGACATAGCTAGAAAATTTTCCAAGTTGTCCCTTAGAAGTGCCTGCAGGGGTGGCGTGCAGCTTAACTGTCACAAAGCATTCACGGAAGTTGTGATGCTGAACAGGTAAGCTGTTAGAAACACTTGGTCATTTACTGCTCTGCCTCAGTACAGGAGAGCGTAGAGCAAACAAGTCTGCAAGACTGACCTTTGACTCTTTTGTAGTGGATAGCGGCAGATCAAACTGGATAAGTCTGTGCCAAAGAATCCCCAAACCAACAAAAGAGGTCTGCAAGTGTCTTGAGCTCTTGGAAAAGTGCACTGCAGGTAAAAACAGGTATAGAGAGGGAATTTAATGCTCATGTCATGCGCTGCTGGTGGCTGGAGCAAAGAAGGACCTGGTGTTAAGATGATCTGTGTTAGTATAAATACAGAATGTCACAGAACCCGTCTGGCTGATGTGTTTGCTGTTTTGGCTCCTGGAGCTCTGCCAGAACAATACATAGCTAATATCAGAGCTTCACTTCTGAAGCATGTTGACTATGTTTTATAGTTGGAAACCTAAACATATTGCTTCTGTGGAAGTATAATTTGCAGTGGGAATCAGAGTTTCAACTGCCTGTGCTTGGCATTGCTGTTGGTTCTGCAGCTATTACCCAAGTGTAAAGCACCCATTTTCTTATTGTCAACTTGGAGCTGATAATGTCCTTCCTGGGTGTGCTGAGAGTGCCAGGGTTTGCTGAATCATCAATTTGGATGATATGCAGAGATCTCTTGATCACCCTGAATTATCTTGACTTTTTTTTTTTCCAGAGTGGTGATGGCACTGAGTAGCATTCCCTATATTTCTAAAATGAGGAGTAACGTGCTGCAGGCGGTGACAAGTGATGGTTTTTTGTTTTGCTTTTGACAATTCCATCTACTAAAACATAATGGAAAAGCATATGGCATAAATCTTCCAGTGTGAAGTTAGCATAACTGTTTTATTTAGTATATATAACCAATTTTCTTTTATATTCTCTTTCTAGAAGCTTTCAGTTGTGTGCTATAGCACTGTTTTCTGCAATAGAGAAACTCTTCTTGTGTCTTGGGAGTGTGGGTGTATGCAGCAAGAAAATTAATAGGTGCATAGTTGCATAAAGTGTTTGCATTTCCAGAATGTCTTGTGAACCTTGAAAAGGGATAGTCTCTTCATGTGGGCCACAAAATGTGATTGCAGAAAACTGATAGTTGTTTTTCTAAATTGTATTCCTTGAAATTACAGAAGGAAAAAGTGGTTAGATACAAACATTATCCAGTTGTTTGTAGTTCAAACGAGAAAACAGTACGTGCTGTATCTTAACTAGAAAAGAAATCAAAGTGATTTGTATTTTGTTTTTACTTGTAAATGCTCTCCAGACTAGTGAAATTAACATTAAAAATAGTTAAAACATTAATTCTGTGAGAATGATCTGTAGTCTGATAGTGCTCTTGAATCTTCGTGCACTCTTGTGAAATAGGCAAATATTATCCTTGTTTTGTAAATGTGGGAAGTGAAGTAGAAATTGTCTTGCCCAAGGCCAACTCCATTTGCCCTAGAATGCAACTTACAGTCGAACACAATAGGATGTATGCTTCATAACACTTCTAAAAGCTGATAAAGAGATATTATCTTAAATACCAGTCAAGGTTTTAAAAATAGGTTTATGTAGTAAGTGCATGTTCTGCAGCTTCATTGAATTCCTTTGCTGCTTGTGACTATTTCTCTTTTTAATAATACTTACATTTCTCTCGATGATGGTCAAAAATCATAAAACCACAGAAATTTTACTGACTCTGTTGGAAAGGGTGAATTGGTAAATAAAGTGTTATTAAAAGAAATGTAAAAGAAAGGTGGATACTTAATTTCTCTAGTCCTCCATTATTTGTGGCTTAACTATTTGTGATGTTTTGTTCTATGGGTTTACATAATCAGATGGTATATATTAGACTTAAACTGACCATCTTTTAAGGTGCCTGGCTTTACCTGATAAAACATCCAGAGCTGGAGCTCTGGAAAACAACAAACCCACTCCTTTAAATGGCATACTGTCTTTAGTGGCTGTTTGTGTTTCACACAAAGCAGGGCAGAAAACACTAAATGTAATTGTCATCCACGAATCTCATGTCCTCAGTGGTTAGGCTCTTACTTTTGTGTCTGTGGTGTCAATGGTTCTTTGCCATTGCTGTTAGGTTAGGTATTACTCTTTTATGGGATTTTGTTGTCTCTGCTGGGCGAAAACTGGGCACTGTAATGCTCCTTGAATCTCTTCTTTCTTCTGTCTGTAGATTTCCATTTCCTTGTACTAAAGATAGTAAGCATATGGATGCAGGAGCTTGTTATTCTGTAGGCTTGTGGTTTATTCATGCTTTATATCTGGTTGCTCTGGGACTGTTACCTGGGAGTATTTGACTGCCCTCCTGTTGTGAGTGAATTCATGTTCAGGTTTTTTAGCTTTCCAGGCATGTTTTTTTGCCTTTCTTGTCCAGAGCTGTCTGTTAGATGCTGAAGTGTTCCAGCCTTTGCATCTAGTCTGGGGGACTCTTGAGCTGCAATCAGTCTTTTGTGAGCAGCAGATATCCTTGGCTGTTGTGACCCTAGATGAAAGGAGACTCACTGTGTAATGGCAGGAAAAGAAGTTTTCATAAAGACTTTATTAACATCAAATGGAGCTGATGTTTGTTGAATTTTATTGTGCTGAATTGTGAATGACTGAAATTCCTCATGTCAGGGAATTAGGTAATTTAAGATAGAAGACAAAGAACAAAAGGGAATTGAAGTATCATGAGCCCGATTCTGATGGTATGAGATACATTAAGCATTCTGGTGTAAGCGTGTTAGCACACCTGTGGGTTGAAAAGTTAGTAACAGAAGCTTTGTCTGTCATGAGGTTCTTAGGTGATTAGGTTCTTCTGGTATTAGCCACCAGTCAGCAAGTCACAAACCATTAAGATTAGCGGACAGCAATGTAGGTGCATACTCAGTGTTTGCACTGCTAGCTGGAGTTTTGTCAAAAAGTGCATGACCAAAGACAGGCAGATCTTGTTTCTCAAGCTGTTGTATGTTGATAGCAACTTTCTATTGTTGCAATACTCAGAAGTAAAAAGGACCAGATTTTTTCCCTGAATGGGTTAGAGTTAGAATAGAATTCACCTTCATGTACTGTAATGATGAGGTTGTATAAAGAACTGTTGTCCAGCAAAGCTTCCAGTAGATAAAATATTTGCCTGAAAACAGCCCCCATGTTCTGTAGTGTCAAGGTGGAATTTCACTCTTGAAGTTAAATCTACCAGCTGTGAGACGTTATCATGACTCCAAGCAGGGGA